TTTTTTCAAGAACAATACAAGATACCTAGCAATCAATGTATCGTTGAGGATATCAGCAAGGTCAAGCACCTCTTAAATGCGGGTCAGCTTTTTGGTGTAGCGGCTTATTACGGATGGAAGTTGCTCAATGTACATGGGCTGACATGCTTCTTGGGACGAGCTGTTTCTTACATATTGATCAAGGGAGGATGGTATTGATCTGACAAATATTGAAGAGCTGAATGATACCAATGAAGCTGTACCCATGTAAGACTGCAGCTGGGTACCTGATCGAGAAGACCCCAATAAAAAGGCGCAGTCGAGAAGGAGAAAGACTCCGGAAACGGAGCATTATGGTATTGGAAACATGTAAAGCTTTCAATTATTATTATTGGAATGTGCCCTGGAGCCTTGAATCGAACCCTCGTTAGCCATCCCCAGTTGAGGTATAAGTACCTCCTGTTTGCCACTGCATTCTTCTCTCCATCAAACCTTCTATCATACAGTCCAGCAGGATTCAAAGACATACGATTATCTATCTATCCAAAATGAAGTTCACCACTGCCGTTTCCGCCCTCGTGCTTCGGGGCTCTGTCCAAGCACAAAGATGGCTCCAGAACGCCCCGACTTCCTGTCTGCAGTCGGAGCAGACCTGTTAGGACAAGTTAAACAAACAGATGGCGTACCAGGACATTCTTTGTGAGTTATATTGAAGATCTACATAGCGAAAATCACCAACTGACTGCCTTTCGCCAGGCCCCGACCAAAGCGGTGTTTTCCGCGCCGCTGGCGACGAACTTTGGAGAGTGTGGTGCGATCAGAGTACGTCAAGACACCCACAACTTTATAGCCCCAAATAGTATAATTAACGCAGAACAGAGAGCGAAAGGGGCAGCGAGATTTCAGTCGTCTCCGCTACCTCTAATCATGACTGCCTGGACAAGTGCGACCAAGTCAAGGTGTGTTCCAGTGGTGATTATGAAATTGCTACGGGGCGCTGCAGGCTCGTGGAGGGTGGTGTCAAAGTCATCGGTCCCTTCTATGACGGGTTCCGTGTGCCTGCACCGGGGTTCATTGCTTTCAACCATGTTGGCCGACTGGATAATCGTTAATAAGTGTATGGTCATCGCCGATGGGTCTCCATTGTTTAAGATAGCTGAGGGAGGAGGAAGAGGAGGAGGAAAGGAGTTCCGAGTGTATTAAGACCACCCTGCTACCGTCCATTTATAGAAAATAGAGATTATTATAGCAACTGTGTGAAACTTGGGTTTTGTTATTACTTACTGGTTTAGGATTCTATTGGTAGTGACAAATCCTACTTGATTAGGAAGGCCTTCGTGGTGTAGCCCTACCAAGACTTGTCTTCATCATGTATACTACACCAATGCCTCAAGTGGTTGGTCAATTCTCCTTGTAGCACTGGCAATTCATCGACGTCCGACTTCTGAACATGACTTCGGTGTATAACTTGAAATTTATGGGCATGACACCTTGAATTGATAACCACCACATATCAAACCATCAAATACATAAACTAGAGAGATTGCCTAACTCGAACACGTCCTGAAGTAGGTCTCACGCTGGAGATAAAATGCGAGCCATTGCAACTGCCATCCCACTTATCGGACGACGAAAATGTGGCCACCTGTGCGCTACCAGTAGCCAGATCCACCAGGGTGTTTTCTATCGTAGTTAGAGTGCATTGCTGCTTATCATTTTTGGTTCTTGAGACTTACGTGCAGGATCATATTTAGGCCACCCCAAACGGGCCAGGCCGTTGTGAGGATCTTTCGCGAACGACACCCAAGCATCTGCTTTCGTCAATCACTACCTATTAGTGAGGACTTGATATGATACTCACCTTGAATGTACCGATTATCAGCGATCTCGCGCGGCGTGGACGGTATTCCGGTACCGCTCATATTGTAAGATCCGAATACCGCGGGCAGGTCACCTTCATGGTTTATTAGTCTAGAAGTACGAGGTGGGTGTCTCACTCACTGCCGTGGTAGGCGCCAAGCCATGGGACGGGGCTGATATTGGTGTAGTTTCCGTGGTAGACATAGCGGTAGGTGGGAATGTTGTTCTGCAAGCGTAGACTGGAGACAGTCAGCTGTGGTACAATGATAAAGAAGACGTGGGGCAATATACTGGACTGTCTCGTGCGTCGGACAGTTGAATTCGGTTTGCGAGCGCACGTACATGGCAGTCTCGTTGATCGTTTTGGAGCTGAGGTTGTACAGAATGGCGAGTTCGCGATCGACGATGCCGATTAATGTGGGCTGGGATACAGCTGCTGATCAGCTTGCCGTCACCTGGTGAGTGGTACTGCGCTACATTCAGGAAATTCTCACTACAGGTGCGATCTTCCCCTGTCGCGACAGGGCAGAGTAGTCTGGAAAGACGGTGATGTTATCTTGCACGGGGTAGAAGGTATTGCCTGCTGCCCTCACCGCATCGATGATCTGGTCAATTGGCTGCTCGCGCATGCATTTCAGGGTACCGTGTCCAGATCTACAACCCAGTGCCGTGGAGACCTCGGTCCAGTTGGCTTGGGCAGTCGGAGCGTCGTGGTTCCACATGCCTGCAACGCCTGATTGAAGGATGGCGGCATGAACGAGAGGGCTGTCGCGGTGCTGCGACGGTTAGGACTAGGTTTCGACGTTCATGCATTTGAGATTCGCACCGCGTAGAGAGACATGTCTGTCGAGACAGCACCGGCTGACTGGCCGAAAAGCAAGATGCGATCTGGATCACCGCCAAACTGCGCAATATTCTGATGTACCCATTCGATGGCCATGCGCTGGACGATGGTTAAACAAAATAACATTCGGATCAGACACATTGACGAACCTGGTCCTGCAATCCCACATTCTGCTCTACCAGAGGGATGTTCGGAGCACCCGGATATCCGAATATCGTCAGACGATACCTGTTATTGTTAAACACCAATTTGGGACCCCGTGATATCAGAGACCCACTGGATACTGACGACAATAACTTCTTCATTATCGCGTACAATGTAAGTTCCATCCATGAACGGTGACGAGGGGCTGCCCTGGTAGAACATCCCGCCGTGGATGAACACCATCACCGCCGCTTTCCCTTTGCGACCAGGATGCGCTGCCGCAGGGGCCCATACGTTCAAGCGCAGACAATCCTCTGAAGTGCCGCCAGGGCTTCCCTGGAGATATGGCAGCACGCTGATAATTGACTCGTTGGACGGGCTGTACACGCCGGGGCAGATCGGAGGGAGTACATCGGCGACGAATGGTTTCTTCGCTCGCGATTTGGCAACGGGGAGGGCGAAGCGTCGCGCGCCAACTGGAGACTCTGCGTATGGGATGCCGAGGAATGCGCGCACTATCTGTGACGAGGTGTTGTAGAATCCTTGCATGGGTCCGCTGGTCGTGTTGACGAGCAACTCGGCGCCCTGAACCTGCAGGACCACAAGCGCTGTTAGGGATAGATACGGGATACGCATGGCGCAATATCTTCAAAATACCCAACGGGAATACCGTCACATTGCGTTCATTATAAGAAAGTACAGAGAAGAAGGCAGTCAATTATATTGCTGCTGCCTTTGTTGTCCGGTGACTCTCGACCGTTGACCACCGGCACGGTGCATAAGCGACATCACACCCAACATCTATCTCAGACACGACAACGTGGAGAAAACGTGGCTATCAGACAGAAGCTAGAATTGAGTGCATTTCTCCGGGCTTTTTTGCATTCTTCACTGAGGATGATAGCTTTCACTCCCACACAAGGCGGGGTATATCACTGGTCGATCCATGATGTAGGTCGGAAGTCTGACACTCAATCTCCGTTCATGCCGCAGATGTCGGCACATCCGTCTCCGACCTGCCTCTCAACACACTCTGAGATGAAGATTGAAAAATAAAGACCGACAAGCAGGCTGACAACCCGTGCCTAACACAAAGGAGTCTCTCCTGTATCCCGGTGGTCCTCGTGGCTACACGTTGTGGTCAGGGACGACTTCGTGTTGCCTCTCAAACCGCAGTGGGGACGAATGTGGGAGGATTCCAGTCAGATGGCTCGATGCTGAGATTAACGGTGATTTCCTAGGGGCATATTGGAACTAGCACCAATCCTACCGATTGACTTTGGATAGGTCAGACAGACAATGCGCGTCGACATCCAAGACTGGAGCCCACGAGCGGCTGACGTTCCACCAAGGCCTGATGTTGTGTAGAGTCTCTAGGTTCCTAGAATTGTGGTTGTGGTCTCATTCTATTTTCCATCTTTATAAAATTGCTAAGATTAGTGATTACTACCTTTAGGCCGATGTTTGCTTCTGACAACGTCCACGCTGCAGCGATCCGACTCTCCGGCCACAACCCATCCCCCTCCAGGGTCGATCACGACCCTTCCAGATCGATCGAGTCGCTTTCTTCGGTGAAACGCTTACGTTCAAAGAAACCGTGTGCTCGGATTCATACAAGTCAGACTTATTATATCAACTCATCCGCTTTAAGAAACCCAAAGGCCGCCGGAGTGACACGAGGAAACGGCCAATCAACCGACACGCACGGATATCCTCATCCCCGGTCAGACCAGGGTCCCACTGGTCGATACACAACGATCATAGCCAATCGGAATGTGAGGGTCGACGGCCAGGTGGAAACATTCGATGGTTCTTTTAGTCGCTGACTCCGCTGACAGAGGACAAAGAAAGGGCAGGGGGCCAGACTTTAGCGCGACGATAGATCTACTTGGGCCCAGCCACGGCGCCTCATGCCCGAGCTCGAACCAAAAGGAAAAGGGGGTCCATTCACCAGTGTGATTAAGAGGGACCCGTCCGGGTGGTTTAACTTTCTTTGTTCGGGGTCTTTCGCTGGATGGATGCCCGATTGTCTCCCCCATGTCTCCGCTGTAATGGTCCCTACAAGATGAAGCTCCCCCGCGGTGCACAAATGCGGGTATCCTTCAATCATGTTTCGCAAATCGACAAAGAGCGTACTGAGATATGGAGCACAGAATGGAGTCGCAATCTCTGGTCCGCAAGCGCAAGAAACACCATAAATCGAGGAACGGCTGCTGGACGTGCAAGTGGGTAACCCACCACCACCGACAGGCGTCTGAGGTCCATGGCAACTAACCAAGCAAACAGAAAACGGCGGGTCAAATGCGACGAGACCAAACCGAGCTGCCAGCGCTGTCGTCGCACAGGATGGGTCTGTCGATGGGATGAGCCCGACACATCGCGAGCGCGCAAGGTCGCGCGCTTGCAGGTCCCCGCGACCCTGCAGCTGCGTCTCTTCAACACCCGACGGGAATGCATTTGTTTCGACTTCTTCCGCGGACAAACCGTGCATGAACTCAGCGGATGGTTCACATCGTACTTCTGGCAGAGTTTGGTGTTGCAGATGACCCACGAGGATGCCGTGGTCCGCCGGGCGGCCATCGCCCTAGGGGCCCTGCACATCGAGGGTGCCGCTCGTCGGCATCCGGGCGGGGCGTTCTATGCGCTGCAGTATTATGGCCAGTCGATGTCGGGCCTGCGACACCAGCTGGGACGCGGAAAACTTATGCCGGACGAGGCCGACATCTGCCTCACGACGTGCCTGCTCCTCACCTGCTTCGAGGTCGTGCGGCAGGAATTCCAGTCGGCCCAGATGCACTACGAGTCCGGGATGAAGATCATCCAGCTCTGTAGCAGTGACAACCCCGAGCAGGAGACCTTACGTCGCCAACGGCAACTGCCCTACTACACGCGGGCGCTGGTCGAGCATTTTGCCCTGCTGGAGATACAGATCATATCCTTCTTCGAGTGGAAACCCAACAACCCCAGCATCGGCTGGGTCTACGGTCGCATCTCGGACATTCATATCCCGGACGCTTTCCACACCATACAGGAGGCCAAGGGGACATTTGCCCTTCTAAAGAGCACCGCCCTCAACCGGATCATGCAAGAGACCAACGCGAAGAGCTTCCCCATACACCGTGTCGACCTGAACGATGGTCTGCCCACGCTGCCCGATATTACCGCAACCAACGACGATCAGCCCGGCTCCGGGGATCTACCCAGTCTGATCATAGGGGTGCAGCAGGTCCTCGAGCAGTGGTACCAGGCATTTGAGGTGCTGATGGTCGCGCTGCCACCGACCCTGGACGCGGAGCAGCAGCGGATGGCGCTCGTCCTCCGGTTCCTCTACATCATATTCAAGATCGCGCTCGTGCGCAACCCCGTACGCGGGGAGATGAGCTACGACGATCTGCTACCCGAGTTCGAGGAGGCGATCGACCAGGCCCGGGCGGCGCTGGCGCTGCGCGATAGACAGGAGGCCGAACGGTCCTCACTATTCGCTCTAGGTCTCGGCGTCATCTACCCGCTATTCTTCATCGCCGTGCGCTGTCGCCATCGCACCCTGCGGTACCGTGCACTCGACACCTTGTCCCAGGCACCGCATCGGGAGGGTTTCTGGGACGCCACCAGTGCGACGCGCGTCACTCGGGCCCTGGTGGAGCTAGAAGAACAGGATCGTGTACCGGGCACGGTCGGTCCCGAGGGCATCTGGCCGGAGATGCGCGTTATGGGGGTGAATTGTGGGATTTCTCACGGGCATGTGGCCGTTATCGAAGTGTTGCGATCGTTTTCGAAAGAAACTCTTTGCATTCCATTGGGGGATGGGGAGATGTAGTCTACGGGCTGGCGTTGATGTGGCGTGTTTACTGGCTCTGCTTACCGTTGATTTATCATAATTCCTATGGCTATCAATCCGATTCTCTCTCGTACAGACATTGTTGCGCCGCCGATCTATCCCATCCTCGTGGGCGATGGGCTAGTCTGGGCTCGCTCCGATTTGTGAGGACGATCAATTCCGAAGATCCGTCCATGCATTATCACCTCGAGCTATGACAAATATACTCAGCTGTTCAATAGTGAAGACGCCACTGCTGCAGGAGCCGTCCCAATCGGTCACACGGGTGGCTACAGCCTCAGCGCCCGTGGATCTTTATTGCTTTTTCACGAAAAGCAAACCTCACCGAAAATTCTTGGGTTCCGAGTATAAGTAGCATGGATTGGACGATCAGCTCGGAGGAAAAGATCTCTTGGATCGTCGCGGTAGATTTACATGACTCTTGAGTATGTCGTCCACGTCGTCCAAAGAAGTATCGCCTGGCCCTGGGGAGAGCCAACTGCCCCCGGAGGAGGGTAGACAAGGATGGCTGTGTCTGATGGGCTCTTTTCTCTGTCTGTTCTGCTCGTTTGGGTTTCTGAACGCGTAAGACTCTTACTCTATATTTCTAAAGCCTAAGGTGCTAACCAAACCCAGCATCGGCATCTTCCAAGCCACCTACGAGGAATCCCTACTACGCGACTACTCCCCCTCATCCATCTCATGGATCTTCGCCGTCCAGGTCGCCCTCATGTGGGCTCCAGGCCCCCTCTATGGTCGGGTTATCGACACGTATGGTCCCGCTCCGGTGCTCTACCCAGGCTGTCTTCTAGCCGTCCTAGGCCTCTGCATGACCAGCCTAGCGCACGAATACTACCAGATATTCCTCGCGCAGGGACTCTGCTTTGGTCTCGGAGCCGGAGCCATTTTCACCTCCGCAATGGTTTGCGTCGGACAGTGGTTTGTGCGACGGCGTGGTCTCGCGGCTGGTATTGCGACTAGCGGTAGCAGTCTCGGAGGAGTGGTCTTCCCGATCTTCTTGCATAAAGTGATGAGCCAGGTCGGGTTCTTTACGGCTGTGCGGTATGCGGCACTCTTAGTGGGTATTCTGCTGGCTATTGCGTGTCTGCTGGTGCGACGGCGTCTGCCGGTTAAGAAGTGGGATGGGGATGCGAAGTGGATGGATATGCGTCTGCTGAAGGAGACGTCGTTTGCGTCTTACACGTTTGGATGCTTTTGTGTGATGTATGCTACTATCCCTTCCATCCCTTCCAAGGATGGCATTAACAAATCTGGTTCAACAGGTGGGGACTCTGGGCTCCCTTCGACTATCTCACCAGCATGGCCATGGAGAAGGGCTTCTCAACGGGCCTCGCCTCGTATCTCATTTCCATTCTCAAGTGCGTGTCTCTCTCCTTCTCTCTCTCCCACTTCAAACACTAATAAAAACAGCGCCGCCTCCATCCCCGGCCGCATCCTCCCTCCCCACCTATCCGACAAGCTCGGCCACTTCAACATGCTCACCACCTGCTCAATCGGCACCGGCGCCTCAATGCTCGTTCTCTGGCTCCCCTTCAACTTTCACCCCTCTCACACAGGCATCATCGTCTTCGCCATCGCATACGGCTTCTTCAGCGGTGGCGTCGTGTCCCTCGTCATGCCCTGCGCCGCGAAAATGGGCGACCTCGCTACGCTAGGCCAGCGCTTTGGGACGTTTCAGCTTATTATCTCGGTGAGTTCGCTGACGGGAATGCCTCTTATGGGCGCGATCCTTCATCATCAGGGGGATACGGACTTTTCCGGGTTGCAGATCTTTGCGGGAGTTGCTTGTTTGGTGGGG